CTCACGTGAACTTCAACACCACTGTGAGCTGGGGGGGGGGATAATAAAATAATAAAATAAAATAAAATAAAATAATGGCAAATGATTACATTTCAATTATTTCAGATTTATTAGAAATTAACTGAACTTTGATACAGCTATGATAAATATGAATGTCATGATCATTCAACATTTCACATATTGTCTTACAAGCTGGCAACAGGCACAGGCAAGCAAATCAGCAATGAAGGCACATGAAATTGTATAGAAACGCACTCAATGTTTTAGATCAGAAACTTGCCAGCTTTCATATTACAGCTGTCATATTTTAAATAAGTTTTTCATAGCTGTCATATATAAAAAAAATTAATTTAACCTCAGTAGCTTAAAGATAACGTAGCTATATGGCAAGCAAACTTGTGAAATATTATTATGGTATGTGTTATCAAAATACTGTGTCATCGGTTTGCCTAAAGAAGACAAAACTTTCGGATGTTTTATGCACCATTCACATGTGGTTTGGAATAGGCGTACATTTTTTTGTGGACCAATTAAAATTTTGAAAATACAAATACTTTCATAAATCCGAAAATTGACATCAAAATGGCTTAACGGATAATTTACAGAAATCTCATTCTGCTTGTGTTTCATGAATGAGGTCCAGTGTGAGCGCAGCATTATTGTCTCCTGTTTTCCACTCATTTCCTGACGTTCTGGTTTTTGATGCTGCCCTAAAATGTTGAGTAGTATTGGCGCAGTGTATTGTGGCCTGCTTACCCAACGCAGGATTGTAGCCATTGCCCTGATTGAGTGAGACAGACCGGTAAGAGATAGACATGTTGCTGTTAAACGGCCCGAGACATCCACTCATTGGGAGCATTGCAGCAGTGAAGGCTATTTTGCATCCAGCTTGAGGAAGGGACAGAAAGCAAGGAAAATGTAACTTTTCCAGAAAAGATTTTATATTGTTTTTTCCTAAACGATAAGCAAATGTGAGGTAGCAGTACCTGTGAGCTCCTCTATTTGGCTGTTCAGATGAGACAGTCCTTCCCATAAGCCAACCATACGTATGAACGTGGCCTCCTCCAGCTCAAGCAGAGGCTGTGCAATACAACAGCAGCTCTTCTGTCTCCCAAATGCACATTCACAGTCCCATCCGCCGCAGGGCAGGGACCCCCTGTAACTCACTGAAAAATGTAAGACAAAAAGTAGAAGTGAGACAAAGACCTGCAAAACCTGTATTTATATGAACAACTGATCAAATGATTCACCAGCAGTTTCGCGCAGGAGGTCAAAGGCAGTGGTAGCCTCGGCTCGCGAGCAGAGACCGAGAACCATCAAAATACACAGAGAAGCTGCCGGAAGCATTGTCATCCTCAGCATGCAGAATCCAGCGGCCCTTAAAAATACAGCTTATTTAGTCCTTGACGTTTAAAAAAGAAAACAAATAAACTTAAAAAGAAGAAGTCTTAGGTCTTAATACAGTGTTCCCAGACATGTTTCTAGAGGCACACTAACAGTACACACCTTCCTTATCTGACCTAGTTAGGATCTTAAAGCAAAGACGTGCTTATTATATGACACCAACCTCTACAACCAATGGAGAGAGCTTAATGGTCAAATTGGATCACGTGAGTCTCGATGACCAATTACATTATAGTCTTAATTCCACTGAATTGCTTAGTCACCGTTTGCGGATCGTAAACTGAATCCTACCGGTCACTAAATTGTCTGAGATTGTCAGTGAGTTACTTCAAATGATCTTCATTTATATACATGAGAGGACACACAGCTATCACTGTAGAATTCAAAGGGTCGGCCAAGCTCAGAAAATAGTACTTTTCCAGTATCCCGTGGGTAAACGAGAAGCTAAAATGACTAAATCATTTTAGGCTAAATGCACCCAAACATAAACCAGATCTAAGTGAATTATTAACATAAATCAAGTACTAATGCGTCTAACTAAAAACTAGTAAGTCTGTAACTGCCACAATTCTATATTTTCATTAGCTATTTACAATATATAACTGATGTACTGTATGTTCTGTTGATTTTAGGTTACACTTTATTTTGATAGTCCACTTTAGAGATTCGAACTATAATTCTACTAACTACATGTCATTTAGCAGTCATTAGAGTACTAGTAGACTGTTTGGTTTGGGTTAGGGTTAGTAGAATAAGTTGACATGTACTTGCAAAGTTACTTATAATCAGTAGAATGTACATCAAAATAAAGTGTTAGCAGATATTAAGCAGACTTGCAAAGCTACTTATAGTTAGTAGAATGTCTTAAGTGGACTATCAAAATAAAGCATTTTACATTCAATCAGATCCATTTAAGTTGTATGTAAAAATGTAGATACAAATGAGTATTTTGTCCGTTTTTTTATTTTTAATCATTTAATTTTTTTAAATACTCACTGTGATGAAGATAACAGATGAATTGCAGAAGAATTGAGTCAGTTAAAGTCAAAAATGGAGCTTTCTGTGCAGCTTTATGCAGTGGGTGGAGTTGCTCACCGAGTGGCTCAGCCTCTCAAGCATCTGATAAGACCAAAGAATATGAGACACCAATGCCTTTCATTTGTCCCACTTGTATGAATGCATGAAAAGTTTTTGTTACTGATACACACAATCATATTTCTTACCAGGATACTTCCAACTCCTCATGGACTGCAGATAATGATATCATTTGAGCTGCTGTGAGATAGTCATTTGTGTATTATTTCTGAATGTGGCAAAATCTGGTCTCAATCTAGAGGTGGGAACAGGATTTGGTTTCCTGATTCTCAGAAAAGGGTGTAGACTATAAAGGTGTGAATCTATGATCATTGTATTTTAGTGATTTCCCACAGCTTTTCCATGAACTTTCTGTAAGATTGATGCGATTATGTAGTATTATATATTGTAATAGAGTGGAACTTTGACTGTGGGAGAGCCATTGAAGTTGTGTAAGATGACACTCATGTTTGTGTATCTGTCACAAGAGATAAAAGGCTAAAACGGATTCATCAGAAGTGAACTTTACATGCCTTTTCAGTTTTTACCACAACATTTCCACTTTTAAATGAATCATTGATAACCACTGGGATACTCTTAACACAAATGTACCATTTTTGTGTGTAAAATGATCAAAATTGTGTAAAACTATCAAAATATAGAAAGCACTGTGAGTTGCTTTATATAAGAATAAAACTGTCACGCAAATAGTAAAGGAAGTAGTAGGGCTGGGTGGGATGATAGGAGGACAGCCTGTTTCAATGCACCATTTCAAAATAAATAAATAAACAAACACACAAAATACACACGTAATCACATTAAAATAAAGCCATGTGTAAGCACATATAGCTGATTTACAATAATAATATAATAGTAGTAGTGAGTGATTGTTGTCATTGGTGTCATTTTAATAATTCCACATATTGGCCAACTGACTGACAACTATTAAAAATATTATAAGTTTCATACATTACTGATTTACAACTAAAGCACTCAACAGATGCAATGATGTGCAAATGTGGATGTTACATGTCTAAAGCATATGCAGTAAAAATGAAAAAAAAAAAAAAAAAAAGTAAAACATTTTTTTTATTTTTTTGCAATGCCTTGTTGTTTAAACATTACTTCTGGGTTCACAGATTACACCATAGATTTAATGATTTAACTGTTAACAAGTTGTGTTTTTAATGTAATTAAGAATTATCATTGTAGTGTAATGTTGATTCAGCAACATTTTCAACTTCAACAGGATGTTGAACTAACATCACATAGTAACATTGATTCAACAACATTACCAGTGATTGTTTTTATTAATTTCGGCGTTGAATGAACAGCAGTGACATAGAATCAACATCACAGCATAACGTTGATACAGTTACTTTACCATTGATTTTTTTTTTATTCAACTGCAGTGATGTAAAATGAACATCACAGTGCACCATTGTTTCAGTGATAATATCATGGATTTTTAGTTGAAATTGAAACATTGCTTCAACATTAACTGAGGGTGCAAAAGTGATATTGAACCAATATGACTTTGTAACATTATTTCAATGCAACTACAATTAACCCATCAACACTGACATTGTTTCAACGGTTGTTTGCTATCTGTATTTTTACAATGATGGGAATAAAATACAATGATGGGAAGACAGCTGAAGCAGCATCAGATCCAGTGCTCTGATCATGTTCATTTTTAATATTGTATCCTGATTCAACTCTATTTCTGTTAAATGTAAAAGCAAACTTTCAAGGACTGTAAACCAGGCAAACAAGATAAAAGGCAAAGTTGCTCTTTCAGAACTCTACACAAGGGAAATTGAAAGGAAAGCCTTTCATATTGATATGGATCCATTACATCTTCTCCATGCTTCTTTTCAATGGCTCCCATCTGGGAAACAGTTTGAGGCACGCTTGGTTAAAAAGAGTTGGTATAAGAAAATGTTTATCCCAACTGCTTTTAGTATCTTAAATAAGAGGATTTGTTTTAAAATAGAGCTTTAAATGTCCTTCTAGAAGCGTTTTTTATTTTAATTTTTTTAATTACCAATATCATCTCATATAAGACTTATCAAATGCATTTTAAAATAGTTTTAACATCACACTTCAAAACATGTAAACTTTCCAAAAATATTTAATGTCAGCAGAATTATTGCAGAGTTGGAATATGAACACACATGGTAAACAGAAATGTGGCAGGTTGAAATGGATGACAAGATGATATACTGTAGAGTCCGTAACTGTGATGAAGGAGATTGTGGTAGATGACAGATGACCAGAGCAACACACACCTAATCAGGGTAAGTCGCAGATAGCTTGAACTCACAAAGGCATACAGACTGAAGACAGAAGATAAGTTGCACAGGAGTTTCAAGAGAACAGGTAAGGAGTCCTTTCTCAAACGAGACCAGACAAAGTGGGAATCTGAGGTGTGTGCCTTTTATCTGTGTGATAATGAGGTGATTATTGATGACATGTGCAGAAGATCAACACTCTGGTGATTGGGCATTGGCAGACCCCGACCGCACGGTGGGTGACCTCTTCCTTGAGGTGCAGGGCGATCTGGATGAGAATCGTGGAAATCGGTGAGGAGAGTTGGGTCTAGAATGTCATCTCTTGGAACCCATGAGCATTCTTCTGGGCTGTATCCTTCCCAGTCACCTGAGTATTCTAGATGGCCACCACGGCACCGGAAGTCCAAGATCTCTCGGACTGTATAGATGGTACCATCCTCCTGGACTAAACGAAGTGGGGTTCCTCTGTAGGGCCAGCCTCTGTAGGAGAAACAGAAATGGGTGAATCGCAGGGTTTAAGCAGTGACACATGAAAAGAATAGTGAATCTGACGAATAATGGTGAAGGAGTCAATGTATCCGGGACTCAATTTTCTGCAGGGCAGGCGCAACTTGATGTCTCGAGTGCATAACGTTTTGACCGGACTGAAAGACTGGAGTATTGGCCCTCCTTGTGTCAGCTTGTACCCTCTGACAGCACTCTGCAGATGATGGTGATCGATCGCTGGAACATCCGAAGGTTCCCCCGACGCCGGGAACAGAGGAGGCTGGTAACCGAGAAAGTGACACACTGGAAGTGAGTCAGTCCAGTGGCAGGTTGGCAAAGGGAGTTTTGTGCATACTCGGCCCAGCTCAAGAATTGGTTCCAAGAATTCTGGTTGTCATGGCAGAAGGTTCTCAGGAATTGCCCAATCTCTTGGATCTTTCTCCCCATTTGACTGAGGGTGGTAACCTGAATAGAGACTCAGAGTCACACCGAGGAGGGTAAAAAAGGCTTTCCATACCATAGAAATAAACTGGGGTTCCCGGTCAGACACAATATTTTCTGGGGTGGAACCGAAGATATAGCCGTGTTGTAGAGTCTCTTCAATATACTCCTCCATGGCCTTCTGTTCAAAAATGGATAAGGGGTATATTTTGCCGTATGGTACTGGCTCACCCGGTATGAGGTCTGTGGCACAGGACAGGACAGAACTTGGTCATGTTGCAATAGCTATGGCAAAGAGGTTTTCTAGTTACCAACTGGACCTTGTAATGAGTTTCAGTGGCCCTCTTCTGGAGGTTGAGCTGGTGGCAGAGAAAGGATACAGACTGAAGATGCAGAAGATACTCTGAAGGTACACAGGAGTTTCGAGAGAACAGGTAAGGAGTCCTTTCTCAAACGAGACCAGTGGTTATCCAAATAGGTATCCGATGTGTGTGCCTTTTATCTGTGTTATGATGAGATTATTGATGGCAGGTGCAGAAGTTGAATACTCTGGTGATGGTGCATGTTGTGATTGGGTGATGGTGGAGCCTGAAACTCTAGATGGCACAGGCTGATATGTCCTTAACCAATGTGCTAGCAATCACACTGTTATCTACATTGTGCAGCTGATTGGTTGCTGTTGCATGAACAGCCAATGAGCTTGCTGCTCAATATTCAAATACTTCGGCATTGCTTGTTGTTAGCAATCTGCAGCACACTTTCAGAACCCCTCCACCTTCCCCAGCTCCACCTGTATGGATCTGCTATGGTGCAATGTCATGTATGTTATATGTGCAGCAGCATGTCTGTGAATGTATTGGCAGTAGCAAGTCTCTGTACTTTCTCTGCAGCAGCAGCAATAATCAACAGCAGCAGCAGATCTGTTCCGCCAAGACCTAATACATTATCATTGCCAATTCCATTACCATGTCAATCTCTCTGAGAGTTGTCATGACAGATCTATAAACTTGGGAGGATTCTATAAGATGGAGCCAATGCAGTGATCCAGAGGCAGAATGTAGCTTATGTTGGAGCCAAAAGTCAGCTGTGCTACCCGTGGGCCCTCAAACTGACAAAACCAATAACACAATACCAAGTTACATAATACTAAAATAAATGAATGATGTGGCAAGCACTGGCTAGGGACTTCTGGTGTTGTATGTGAGAAGAGTGATTGAACGTGTGGAGGGTCAGATTTTAGTGAACTCTAGTGTGTCTTTCATTAGTGCAGATTTCCTCATACCAGTTGCAGCTCTTTGTAACCTCCCATTGAGAAAGGACTATGTGATGACCCATCCTGTGAATGGACAGATACTGGATTCATCGGGCACCATAACAGTAACATTTCAGCTGGGAGTCATGGCAGGATATATTTAATGTTTTAAGAGAAACCATAAAAACCATAGTTGGGATGATGTCGCTACCTGCGTCACTGAACTTGCGACACAAACACAACAGAACCGCTAGATTTAAATCAGCACAGCCAGTGAAGGATCGAACGCAACAGTTTTGAACAAGCGCACCTTTTTTAACAACCAAAAAGTGGCTGTTTCGTTGTCTGTTGAGGAAGTACAGACGTTCCTCTCGTTGATAGCAGAGGAGCGGATCCAGCAAGCTTGATGGGGCGACGCGGAATGAAAAAATTAAAAAGTTTTTCAGGAGTCGTGGCAATAGAGGCGGCGCAACTATAACGAAATGTCAATAATCCCG